AATTTCCAAAACCTGAAAAACTTTGCAATTTTATATAAAATTTTTGTTGTTCGCCACCCATAAAAGCTTTGAATGTAAACAGCTTCGCAGGTGTTTTCTTAAAAAATAAGCTGCAGAAGTTATGTTTTGACCTTGAGAGTTTTGTAAGATCTTATATAGTCACAATTATAAAATATACTTACTTTTTTTTACCTTTCTTTCAAAAATTATATTTTTGCTTGCTTTTTCCGTGGTTAATATACACAAAATTATATTTATAATCCAAAATTATGCTAAAAAGGTTGTACTTGTCTTCACAGAAGTGCGCCCTGGTGATTTGATCTCACTAAAGCTGTATTAAATTGCATGAACTCCACTCTGCCCACATCTTATGTTTTTTTTTATACCATTCAAAGTAGTTCTTTCAAATCTCATTATGATCGAGAGTCGCTTAGTTCACATATTTGCTATTTGCTTCGGATTTTCTCAACTTTTTTTCGTAACATATTCGCAGTAGCTTAGTAGTAGTAGATAGAGTAGTAGTAGACTATATATAATACTATTTACTCATAGTGGTTTCATTTCATTGACCACCTGTCTAAACTTTCTGTGAAAATTTAAATATTTTATAAATAAAAAAAAATTTATATTTTATGAAGCGATCTTTAAAAGTGAGTCATACTGTCACCAAAAGCAAAAAAAAAAATAACATAACTTCTCATAAGTTTACAGTAAAAAAAAGACGGTACAAAATAGAAAATGCTCATATTGAAACAGAATTTGAATATCAGTTATTATTTGGTTATATCTGTTAGCAGTAACTTACAATTTTTAGTTCTTCAGAAGTTAAAAGAAATTTTTTATTCATAAAAACTTTTTTGAAAGTTTGAAAACTGTGAAATTCGACTTATCGTTTTTATACCCTTAAGTGGCACACCCAGTGTGAAATCGAATTTTCATATTTGAATTGTTATTTTTACAATTTTTAGATATCATCCACGAAGAAGGTCGGAATTACTACAGCAGTTGAGAACCTTTATTTTTAGCGCTGTCGGATATTTTCTCTAGTATAACTCAAATAATTAAGTTTTTTTTCTCAAAAATTTCACTGTGTATTCTCGGTTCATGTATAAATATACCCTGAAAATTTCAAAACAATTATCAATTTATAGGCATTTATAGATATTCTTTGAAAGTCAAGTAGGTTGTTATTCCAAAATTCCATATGACTGTCAGACCTTGGCGAGTGGAGAGTAGAGAAAGCTTAGCAAGTGGATATGCTACCCTAATAAAAAACTCACAAATTCTCTTGCATTGAATGAATGAGAATAATTTTGTTGTTGCTTTCACATGTGCATTTTTCGAAGAGAAGAAAGGAGATGGCTTATATTCATATATTCAATTCCTACTATATACTTTTTTACTATATATGTAATCGCTAGTAAATCATATTGTTCATATGCTCACAGGAAATTGTATATTTATTTTTTAATAAAAAAATAATAATTGCACAATCCACGTGAATTGGTATTTTTTTCTTTATTAATTATAAAATAATACTAATTTAAACTTAATGAAGTTTAAAATTTATTTTTAGTAAATAAATAATAATAATTTCAAACTTCACGTGATATTTAATATTTATTTTTTATTTATATATTTTTTTATTAGCATTTCATTTTCACAAAAAAACGCTAATTTCATATCGACAGAACTGGTAAAAATTAATAAAAAATAATATAAAGTAAATATATCATGTAATATTTTGTAATATCATTATATAATAAAATATTATATAACTTCCAACGACCTCAAATCTCGAAAGAAAATATAAAACGCAAGTCGTCGTCAAGTGCCGTCGGCAAAACACAAACATTTTTTTTTATATATAAAAATTTTCTTCCCATATTTTTTTTTTTTACCAAAATTCCAAATTCACTACAAACAATATTTTTTTGTTATTTTTGTGTAAACATTTTGTTATTTTATTATTATATTACAATATTTTTTATATTTGTCATATTTTTGTTTTTTTATAATTCTTTGTTTTCTTTGTTGTATTATTAATAATATTTTTTTACTGTACTAAATAATAATTTCTAACGATTTCCAGCAGAATTTCTTATTTATATATATATATATATATATATTTATTTATATACATACATACATACATATATGTTTGTTGTTTTTCGCATATATAATTTTTTAATAATTATTATTTATTTTATGCCATAATATTTATTTTGTTTCCTAAATTAATTCTAATATTATGCTTTAATAATTTTCTATATTATTTCTTAATAATTAAATTATTAATAATAATAATTAATAATTTTAATATTAATTAAAAAATTTAAAATTAAATTTTCTTTCTTATTTTCTTAATTATTTTCATACAGCGCGCGCACATACACCCATTTATGTATACGAAATTACATTCTTTTATAATGTGCTTATTATGTTAATGCTATTCATTAAATTTACAATAAAAACTTAAGCTATCAAGTTTAGCGCAAATTCAAACGAAATTGGTAGAGAGTCGGTGCGGAAAATTTCTGCAAAACGGCTGGATAGATTGATTTGAAATTTTCAAGTGACCTTCTTGAATATATTTGCTAGGTTATGAGCGAAGTAATAAGATTTTTGATAATAATTACGATTTGTTTAGTGTAAATTTTTTCACAAAATAAACGACTTAATTTGCGAGGTCGCCATTTTCTCAAAAATCAAAATTGCGACTAGTGCTTTAATGATCACTTGCATTCGTCTATATTAATAATAATTTATTTTGGTTTTTAGTTATGAAAAACTTCCTCACCGCTGACATTCTCGCATGACGCTTTCGGTAGTCCTTCTGGAGATCGGCTACGGCATCAAGGAATCCAAAATTTTTCATTATTAATCGCCGATTATTAAAGTACATTAAATTTTGTAATGTACCCAATTTTTATTTATTTATTAAATAAAATGCCATTTAAAAAAAAAACATTCCAAAAAAGTGTGTATTTTCTGCCATGCAAGTGGATATCATCACTTAAAATAATTTGAGTTATGAGGAACTATAGACAACTTAATGAGTATATAGTTCAATTTGTACGACACTGCTTTAGATGTATGGCTAGCAAATTATCCATGAGAGTGTTATAAGGTGACATAGCGCTCTCTGCACTCAAGTACTCAGAACTATACACTCGCACATACTTGTAGTATATAGGCTGATTGAAGCACAAAAATCAAATCAATACGTTAAAATTGTACAATAAATAAGAACAATGCGGTGAAGAAAAAGTACTAAAATTGCATTGGAAAAATACATTTGTAAAGTATTTTAGAAAGTTTTGTTGAAAATTTTTGAATTTATTTTAAGAAGGGTCTATGTCTCCCTAAAACTTTTTATGAAATGCATTAATGCTACAGAAAATTTTATAAAAACAAAAAAATTTGTGTTGAATAATGCTTCAATATTTTCAAAAAAAAATCACACACAAGTTATTCGGCTTATTGCTCAATGAAATCATTTGTCACAGAATTCAATGGAAACTTCAATCATATTTTGAAAAATATCTTGAAATATTAAGCGAAATGCATTACTTGCCGAATATTAAAAAAATTAAGGTTCACAAAAATTTGGCAGGAAGCAGAAAGTTGTTGAGTTATTTTTATCTATAAATTTTATTTATTTTAAATATTATTATTTTGACTTTTTGAAAAATTGTTAACCATATGTTCAAAATTTCACTGAATTTAACATGAGTGTTTACCAATACTACTATTAAATACATTTAAATGCTGGAAAAAATAAATAAATCAACAAATGAAACTTCTAAATCTATTATTATTAATTTTCTTTATATTTTGTTTAAAACTCGCCATAAGTAGAGTTTTTTATAACAGCCCTTATTGGCTTAGTTATCTTCAAACCAAATAATAACTGCTCAAAATTTATTTTGAAATTATGTAGAATTTTATCAATTAAGAGATACAATATTTATCAAGAAAAAATTTTTTTTCGAATTTTTTAAATTAAAAACCTATAAAATAATTTTTTGGAATCGTTTTTTTTAAAACTTAATAAAATATTTGTTGCGCTTTTCAATAAATTTTGTTAAAAATGTTTGATGATTTTATTTTAATACTTAATTACTGTAAAAAAATGATAGATGTTGTAATAATTTTATATTAAATTCTTGATATTTGTAACTTAATATTGAATTACAACAAAAATTATTGAAAAATCAGTTAAAGAAGTTTTCCATCTACCGTGCTTTAAAAAAAAACCATATTTAAAAAAATTGCATAAAAATTTTGATTGTAGAGCAGTTAAATACAAAAACATAGATATTAGAAATATTTTTTCTTAAAATGTTTTTAGTAAATAATTGTGGCTTGAACTTTTTGAATTAGTATATTCTAGTTTTTTGTTGTTGTTTAAAAATTTCATTACCGTAATTACACGAAATTCGCTGCCAATATCGGCAATTGCATTGGAAAATTGCTGAAAAAAATAAAATGTGAAAGAAGACGACAAATGCTATAATGAAAAAGCACATAGAAGAGCTGTAGTGAAATTTGCATTGTTTCTCCCCTCGAAAACCACCAACAGAACCGCTTTCCAAACTTGTACCATAACATCCTGAAAACCACCTAAAAACAAGTTTCACGCTTTGGTGAAAAAAATAATAATTAATTAATTGGGCTTAATTTAGAAATTTAATGAAAGCAACTAATTAAAAAGTATTAATTTTCAAATTAATTGAAAATAAATAATTTTTTTAATTAGATAAAAAGTTAAATTTCTAATTAATTAAAAATAAATTTATTTATAATTAACTAAAAATTATTTTCCTAAATAATTAAAAAATTAATTCTTTCAACTAATTAAAAATATTTATATTAAAAACAATTTAATTTTGCATTTACCCTACCATTAAACGTTCACTTGTAACGCACTCTCCAACTGTCACTTTTTCCGTTGCACTTGGCATGAAAACACACATTGTTTTTGTTTTTATTCTTAATTACAACGTTTTATTAAATGTTTTTCTGCGTTTTTTTGTTTGTTTTTATTTTTGTTTTTACCATTCCTTATTCAGCTAAAACTCTCAATTCTCTATCACACTTGACGCATTTTCATTATTATATATGTATGTAACTAAAAACGAAAAATAAACTTAACATAAATATTTGTATATATGTATGTATGTGTATGTTTGTATGCATTCAATTACATGATTATCAACTTGAATGTGGAAAAAAGTGCGCACTTATAAAAAGTTGGCGTTAAAATTACAAATTCGAAATTCATGAAGTTTTTGCATTGCAAAATTTCGGGAATGTGTTGTTGTTGGTTTTTAGCATTTTGTTGCATGTGGTATACTAGACGCTGCACGCGCGCCTCAATGCTGTCATAGTTCGCTACTTAAACGATAACATGTTGTTTTTGTAATTTTGTTAATATTATATAATTTTTATTTTTGTTGTTATAATATTTGGCGGTGCTTAAAAAGTACTTGAGGGCGTGTAGCGCGCCACAGCGCGGCGCTATTAGTCATTTAATTTTTTACAGTGTTTATTGCTTAAAATTGCGCCGCCGCGCCACTGCATGCGCTTAATTTGCGTAATCTGCTTAATTTAATTTTAATTTAATTTATTTTTTAATTTTTCAACTTTTTTGGGCATAAAATTACTTGACATATTTTTGCGATTTTTTTTTTCTTTTTTAATTTTAAATTAATTTATTTATAATAATTATTTTTATGCACTTTACAACTACAGCTAAAACTTGTTTAATTTTAATTTTTATAATCTTCTCTTAATTACTCGTTTAATTTTACTTGTGTAATTTGTAGCTAATTTACAATGTGGATATATCCAATAGTCCAACGGATGCGTCGTGCGGATGGTGCAGCTGATGCGTTACGCTGTGGTGGGGATGGTGGTGGTGATGGTGATGATGCGGCGCCAAATGGTGATGGTGCTGGTGGTGATGGTGCAGCAGCGCCAAGGGACCGCCAACGCCCAGTCCATCGCTCCCGCCACCGCTGCCGTTCACATCGCCATGACTGCCACCTAGGCGCCCCATCAGCGCGGGCGACACAATTGTGGTGGCGGTAGCGGTGAGCGCTGAGCCGCAGCTCGCCGCCTGTAGATAAGCGCCGTTCACTTGATGCTGCAGCGCTGGCGAGTGTGCGGGCAACGGCAGTGAGTGCGCCGACGAGCGGCTGCCGCCTGAAGAACCTGATGCCGTCGGGCTGGGGCGGCCGCCATGCATGCTATTCACATAGCTGTGCAGCATGCTGACCCCACCGCCAACGCTGCCATTGTTGTTGCTGCCGCTGCTGCTGCTATTGCCGCCGACGCTCTCCAGTGACTGGCTATGCAAGCCGTTGTGTAAATTACCGCCGCCACCGCCGTTGTGTTCTGCGTGCAACATGCTGGAAGCGCTTGCTGACACTGGCGGTTCCAGCTCCAATTGTGATGTTAGCTGCATTTGTTGTTGTTGTTGTTGCAATTGTTGATGATGCTGCTGCGCTAGCTGTAGCTGTGCATGCGCGTGCGTTAGTTGTTGCGTATGTTGCAGCAATGTTGTAGGCGGGGTGGTAGGCGAAGTGGATGTGGATGCGGGCGGCACTACCAAACCATGATGCTCCAACGCGCTTGTCATATCCGTTACAGTTGTGCCGGCGTTGGTGGCAATGGCATTAGCGGTGGCGCCGGCAGCGGCGGAGGCATTAGTGGATGCAACTGTGGCGATTGCGAGCGCTGACTGACCATAAGCACTGGCCATTTCTCACATGTGAGCGAGTGGCGCCATTGCGCGCATCGATTGTTGATGCTGCGCATGCTGTTGTTGCAAGTCCGGCGAACTATTCTGATAATGCATCAGATTGCGTTGATGCTCTGCGGCGGCGGCGGCCGCGGCAGCTGATGCCTGCATGCCATCGGGTAAATGATACATATTCATCAAATGATTCAAATCGGTCGTTTGCTGCGTCGCGCCATATTCACGTTTCATTATATGATTGTTATTGTTGTTGGCGGCGAGCACAGCGGCTGAATTTTGTTGCGCTTGACTATGTAACGGACTGGGTGAGACAGGTTCGGATTTGATGCTCGAATCGCTCGGACTGTGACTTTGGCAGGAGACTTGCGAACCCGGTTGACCGCCTGTTAGGCCATACGGCGAGCCAGGCTGTTGCTGTACATTGCTATAGGGTGAACCGGGTTGCTGTATGCTAGCATACGGTGAGGTTTGTCCACCCGACACAGTGCCGTACATGCCGTAACCACCACTCGCCGCCGGATTCATGTAGTTGAGTGAACCCGCAGCAGCAGCCGCTTGATGCATTTGACCCATATCGTAGCGGTGATAGTTGCCCATATAGGCGCTATGCTGACTTTGGTATGCAGCGGCTGATGGATCATGCATCATATAACCATTCGGCATATAACCGTTTGGCGCGCTCATCTGATACATATCACGGTTGACGGCGGCAGCTTGTTGTGCGGCCGCCATCGAGCTGGCGCTTGTATTGCGCGCCGCACTAGGCGCATTCGGTTCGCTTGACTGCAGCAATGAGCCGACGCCCATTGGATACTTCTCCTTGGATTTGGTTAGCGTCTTTGTCTTGCGTCGTGGCCGATATTTATAATCAGGATGCTCCTTCATATGCACCGCACGCAAACGTTTCGCTTCGTCGATAAACGGACGCTTTTCAGCTTCGGAGAGGTCCTTCCACTGTGCGCCCAAACGTTTTGAAATCTCTGAGTTATGCATTTTCGGATTGTCGGAGGCCATTTTGCGGCGCTGACCGCGTGACCACACCATAAACGCATTCATCGGACGTTTAACACGCTCCGCATTCTGTTGATTCTTATTCGTGGTCGAGACGTTATTGTTATTCACATTGTGACTGCCGCTACCAATAACTGTTGGCACGTTAGCATTTTGACCGCCAATAGACGCGCCACCACCCATGCCGCTGTGATGATGCACGCCATGGTGTTGCTGTTGCTGCTGTTGTTGCTGTTGCTGACCGCCCGGCGATGTCATATGATGACTGCCGATGCTTGATTGTGTGGGACTCAAATCGCTAGCGCTGTGCAATGGTGAACCGTGTTGCTGCTGCTGCTGCTGTTGTTGTTGTTGTTGCTGTTGCAAACTCGCGTTACCATTCAACGTATTTGCCATGCTAGTTTGCAATGAACTTAACGGATTGCTCGATAGACCGCCACCGCCATTACCCAGCAGCGCGCTTTGTTGCTGTCCACCGCTGCTGGCCAAATGTGTGGCCATATGATGATGATGATGTTGACTCAAATGTGATTGTGTCAAATGCGATTGTCCGAGATTCATTAGCGGACCGAGCGCGCTATACGGCGACGCAGCGTGTCCATGCAAAGCGGCGGATGCGTGATGCGGCGGCATGGTGGCATGCAAGATGCCGCCTTTCATATCCGATTCCATGGTCAACATATTGTGTTGTTGTAGCGGTATAGCGTACACGGCGGCGTTGTACTTATTATTGGTCTTATATGGTTTATTACAAATATTGTTGCTTGGCTAACGCAAACTTCTTACTTGCCAAAATATTTTTGTTTGCTTAGCGTTTTGTGCGCTAAATGTTGCGTTTGGTTTAGCGCTTTAAATTTTTTTTGTTTTTTATTGTTTGCTAGTTAAGCGCACACTATTGTTACACACTGTAATAAGTTAGTAGCGTTTAATTTGCACTTTTTTGAAACCATTTTTTGTGCGACAATTAAAGTTGCTATTTTTATATAATTATTTCTGCGCTGCTGCTGTGTCTGCCTGTTTGTGTTATTGTAGTTTATTTGCAATTACGCTGCGCTTATGCTGCGTCTCTTTAAACACTGTGTTCACTTATTTTTGTACTTTAATAGTTAACTTTTCTATGCAAGCCTATGCGCGCGCTGCCTGAAATTGCTTGATTTTGGTAGCGCTTTCCAAGCAAGATAATTTTTTTGTTCGTTATTTTAGCAAATTCTCAATTTTCCCAAACACTGCTTCTTTTGCACCGTTACTTGCACAGGTAGCACTTCGCTTTGTCTACGCTCTTAAGCGCGCCACCTTCACTGCACTACGCTTTGCGCTGCCTTCTTATTTGCTTAATGCTGCGCCGTCTTTCGTCCGTCGCCTTCGTGTGCCGTAATGCTTATGCGTTATTGTGCAAATTCCGATTATTTAAATGACCAAAATTATTAAGTCAATTAACATAAGTATGCAAGTTAGACATGTGCGCGTACGAGTAATCGGCCTTTCTTGCACAATTTCACTTTAAAAATTATTTATATATTTTTTAATTCTCAAAACACAATTTTTAACTCTTTTTAATAAAATTCACTTTCAGTTTCCGGCATTACACACGTTATTTTACGTTTTCATAAAAACAATACAATTGCTTTTTACGCGTTGAGTCACAAGACGAGACGTCGTTGCGGTACCAAAGTCTTTTTATTTCTATATAAATATTATGCTTTTTTTATCGGCTTGAGTCTACTACTTTGCCTTTTTAATTATTGTGCCTACTGCATGCAGGGTCATTGAAAAGTTTGTCAAATAAATTTTTACAATTTCCGCGATACGTCAACACGCGAATACCTCCACACTGCACTGAATTGAGCACCTTTCTGTTTTCGTTCGACGAGCATGAAACCTGTTCGAGGTGCTGGCTGGCTGACTGGCTAGAGCGCTGCTGCTGCTGCTGTGCAACTACGGTGTGTTGTGTTGTCGCTCGTTTACGAATGTTTGCACGAAGTTGAGCAGACACGATGTTAGTTGACTCTCCGCGGGCGCTACTCTCGTGATTATGCGTGTGTTTGTCACAATGTTAGTGGTAGTTATACCATTAGGCAACGAAGCGCTGGCTAAACGTAAGCTCATGTTTGCTTGTTTGTGCACAGAGCAAGCGCTAACTACCCTGGGCGCATGTGAAAGCATGTTGCTGCACTCGCACGCGTTGTGTGCACCTAAATGAGCTAGATGAAAGAGCGCGCTTATAAATACAACACTTGTTAAAGAGCGGCGCACGCGTGAGTGCAAAAGAGATAGTTATGTGTGTATGCGAAATTGTAGTAATGTGTATGCGCGCTCTTCGCAACACACACGCGCACACAAACTACATTTAAGTTAGCGCGCTCTCCATATGTATTCGTACAGCGCAACGCAAATAAATCAAATTGCCCTGACAGTATAGTGACTGACGCGTTACACGCCACTTACATAGAGCTATGTCAGTACGTCAACTAGTGGGTTGGATTATGCGCAGCAACATGCGACAGCATAGCTTGCCGCTTTGCTTGCTAACCAATCGCTATGCTGGCGCGTCATGGTGGGGAGGGGTTATGGCGCACGGTGTAGTATTGCTTTCCTGCGCGCACTCTAGGTATGGTGTTGGTCGAGTACTAACGGATGATACGCTCACCGTAGGCTGACTTGCTCTAGCATTTGTGGCATGCTTGCGATTGTGCACTGTAAGCGGCAGACTGAACGTCGACGTGCTTAATGGCTTTGTGGCTGTTCGCCGCCACTGTCACTGACAGCGTACACGTACTTTACGTGGCATATACAAATATGCCGGCTTCGCAATCGATTCCTTGCCACCACCACTCACACGCATGCTATGTGGTATGTGGTAAAAGCGCCGCAGCGTTTTTTTAAAGCTGGTAGGTCGACAGCGTATCGTATCGTGGCGCGCTATAAAATTCAACGCGTATTGGCTGTTCTGAATTATAGGAAACACTGTTGCCACATTTCGTGCACGCGTTTGTGTAAATGTATATTGCCACAGCGCGCGCTCTTGCAAGTGTGTGAAATTTGAGTGCGTGTATGTGCGCGTTCAACGTTGTGGACGGCGTAGCATGTTGACGTTGATTATTGGGCAGCATTAAGCGAGCATCTAATGTTTGTTGCTATAAAAAATGTGTAGTATTTAAGATTTAATGCGCTGCTATGTGGCGGTATGCTGGGCGTTATAGATACGCTAGGAAAATTTCAGCGTATTTTCAAGCGCTTCCTGTTGGCAAGTACAGAAATAGTTATGCTTTAAATTAGCGCTTAGTATTTTGCAGTAAATTGTAGTAGCATACACAAGATTTGGCGCTACAGAGCGCGCTTGCATCGCACTTAATTATATTAATGGAAAACGCGTGCTTTACAGTTGAGAAATAAAAACAAATTTAAATTTTTTTAGCACATAAATGCTGCAAAAACATAAGCGCTCAACCGTTTGTTGAAATATAAAAATATTAAAGGCCTCCTTGCATATGCGCTGCTGCTGTTGACCTTACAGTGACCTTCCTGCCACTTCACAATTTGCATATATGTACTATATATACATACAAAAATCAGCTGAAATATCAAACTGTGTCGTCGCGCTAGCGCTTTTGCTGCCCCACTACGTAGTGCACCCCCAACCCAACCAAAGAACAAGCAAACAACAACAATAAAAACACAAGCGCAGCGCTGCAACTAGATTGGCTTTTATTGTTTTCCATGTCGACTGTCTGTTGCATGCATCCGTATATTATATATAAATGACGTACATACACAAGCATGCATATGTGCCTTGTTTGATGCAACAATTACGCGTACAATGCCAACAACAGCAACAAAAACAATGCACATAACTGTAGATAGCAGCGTACAATGCGTCTGCATATTGTTGAACGCAGCACGTCCAGACGCACTGGCAGACACTGCATGCTTATTTGTTTTTGTATTTATTGTTGTTCTTATTATTATTGCGCTGTGACGGGGGCGGAGTAGCGCATATACTTACAAATCTGCACGCAAGTGCGTATATGTGTGAATTGTTGCAACGTCAGCCGCAGCAGCAGCAGCGACGGCAGCGCAGTCACTGGCATATCAGACGAAAAACGTCATTCAAATTTCGGTTAACATCACACCACTACCATGACGTAGGTGCACTTACATATATAATATATGCGCATTATTTGCATGTATTGCCAAATACAGACACATATACATGTATATACACATACATACACATCTGCAGTAAATATGCAAAATAGTGTGGCAAAGGTATACAATTTTATGCAAATTTGCTATAAAATTTCGTTGGATATAGGCGAAAAATTCATATATACACGCACTCACACATACATATGTGTATGTACGTAATCTTGATTGAAAGTTTGTTGTTGCTTGTGGCAGGCTTGTATTTGTGCTTGCTACAGCACATGAACATCAATTTAAGTTCTTGAAAATTATTTCTTTAAGTGAAAATGCGGAAATTTAACTGCAAGAAAATACAGTTACTTTCTTGCTGTTGTTGTCCACAAAGTTGAGGTTAGTTGTGCTCGCATTAGTTGCACATAAAAATTTCATATTTTGCTGTACAAAAATTGACTACTGATAGGTATTTCCTATATTATATTATATATAAGTAAATGCTTTGTATGAAGCAAAATTGTGAAAGTATTTGGCGAGCTTTCTGAATCTTAGCTATAGAGCTAAGTTTATCTGTAGTACAGGTTACAAAAGCACTGCTTAACTGTCGGTTAAAAGCCTAGGCAGTTCCGCTTGCTATTAGTTCACTCTATGCATATCGCTTTAGTTGAGCGATTATCGCAATATCTGCTCCTTGCATATATTTTATGTGAATAATGGGTTGAAAAAAAAAGCTGAGCTTAAGTTTAACTGAAGTCGATAAATGAATCATAATTGAAATAAATTTTGATGCGCAAAAATGTAACGAAATTGTTGAATTTATGTACTTCTTCTAGAGCACTAAAGCACTAATTTTTTCCTTGAGTATGGTAAAGGAAAACATTTTTTCTCTTTGAGGTTTTATTAAACAAAAACAAATACTATATTGGGTATAATGGGGTTGGAGGAAGATTTGCACTGATTGCATGAACTTTTGCCATTACTCAAGTATACTCGGAAACATTTTTCCAAGCAATTTTATGAAGATAACTCACACACTGACTGACGTATGGGTATAAAGTCTGGTAAACTAATGAAAATCTTTATGTTATATATGGTAGAGTGAGCTGGGGTAACTCTTAGATCGATTTCTTAAATTTTCGTCATTAAGCTATAGTATCTCTAATGTTGTATTTCACTTAATTTTGCTAACACAGCTTACATGTATACGCTTGACCGATGTATACGCTATAAATGCAACCGGAAGCGGGAAATTCTTATGTTTGAGGTAGGAATAGTGCTGGCCCAAATTTAAACATTTTTGTACAAGACCGCACTATTATTAGTGAGAGACCTTTTTTTAGCTTCTTTATGATATCTTACCTATTGACCGGTATGTACGGTATAAAGTCAACCGGAAGTTCGAATGGGTGTTAGGTGAAGTATTAATTCGATTTTACCCATTTTTGGCATAATCACACACTTGTAACAGAAAAATATTCTCTCCGGATTAAATAATATATCTCATAGTTTTACTGATATTCTCCGTCAAAAATCAGCTATGTGCACTGAGGTCCACATATACGGTATTTAGTAACTTAAAAAGTTATATTCCGACTTCGACCAGTTTTAAACGTGAGACAGCATACTAGAGGCACTATTTATGCTCTTCATTGACTCACTTTTTACTTTTGCATATTATTTGTTAAGATAGCAAATCGCATGCGAGTAGAAAAGTGACGATGCGAAGGTGTCTCATAATTGAAATTATATAAAGAAAAAATAATTCCAGCTATTAGGCAACAAAAAAGCTATGAAATTTAATTTAATACTATTCATACAAAGAGTATGTGAATATATCACTAAATATTAAACTAGTAGTACTTTATATCTCTATTTGAATATACTAATCTATATGTTTCGGATGTGTTTTTTGTTCGCTACGCGACTCTCCAAGGCTTGGTGAAACGACGATACCAATAAGTAATTGATGCTTGCATATGCTTTTTTCCTGCTATTTCGGTTGCATACTTGTATATTGATTTTTTGCAACAATTTAAGAGGTTGAAGCTGCTCTCATACAAACGATGTGCATATTTGGTGAGAATTGTTTTCCAACAATTTTTTATATTTTTTGTCTTTCTGTGATTTTTAAACACACAAAATAAGATTGATAATCGCTTTAAATAAAGTTGATCACTTAATAGGTGAGTTTGTAAGATACTTTCAAAATAATAACGTAAAATTTTATGAAGTTTTGAATTCTTCTAAATTCAACTATAAATAAATTGTAGCTATTATATAATATATATATCAGTGAAAAGTCTTCGCTTGATTATAATATTGATTTTACTTATATTTCCTCGTTAAGTCAAGATGCTTGCCCTAAGTATTGAAATTAAACATTTTTGTAACCAAATCGTTGGCATTCGGATCAGCCAAAAACTAAACCATCGAACAGCTTAAAATGAAACTACTATAGATGGCGCAAAAAATAGCCACGCAAAGAAAATTTGTATACTCTCGCAACTTGTTGCTACAGAGTATAATAGTTTTGTTCACCTAACGGTTGTTTGTATCACCTAAAACTAATCGAGTTAGATATAGAGTTATATATATATAAATGATTAAGATGAAGAGACGAGTTGAAATCCGGTTGACTATCTGTCCGTCCGTCACAAAAAAGTATATATTCACTAAGTACAACTAATTACTTACATATTGTTGTAAAAAATTTGAGCACATTGTTGCATAAAACGCGCTTATTTTATGATTTTAGTCCTGCACCAATGTCAACCTCGTTGTCTTTGAACATCAAAAAATGTTAAAATACAGAAAAAATACAAAATGAAAAGAATTTTTACCTGAAAAAAATTTACACGACTGCTACCTAATCCACTTGCGAAAATCGTTTCGTAGAATAACTTGGGTGAAATAATTGATGAGTATAAGTCAGGCAAGTATGAGAGGTATTTATTTTTAAAATCGCCAATTAAATATTGTTTTATTTCTTATAGCTCTTAGAACATTAAATATCAATATATCCTAATGATTTGAAATATATTTAGCGACTTTGTAAATAACAGTGCCATTTCATAACATGACATAACCTACAAAAATAATTTTACTTGTACATTTCTAAGTAAATTTCTAAATCCAAATAGTTAAAGTTATTTAATTGAATTCTCAAAGAAGCCAAGCTCATCGACAGCATATACAACCGTTCGCTCGACAGTCGGGTCTAAGTAACCGGAACGGATCCGGATTTTGAACCGCCCAAAACTGTCAACTCGGCAGCATATTAAGCCGTTCGGAAGTTTTATATTGACGTGCAAGTCGGAAAAACTTTTGTTTTTTTGTGAATTTGGTACATTTGAGAATTTAACGCATTTAAATAATTGCCAATTAATTTTGCAATTTTTTTTTCTTCTCTTGATCCCTTTGTCGGTCTCCAGGAGGACCTATGGAGGTGGCGATGTGGAATATTTTTCTGCTTAAAATTAAATTTCAATGTTGGTACAGCATTTGACGCTAAGATATTTCATATATAACATATGGTATGTATCATATTTTGAAGTAATATGCATATAAATACATTTTTATCAAATTTGCTTTGCTACTACTATTCTTATGCAGAAAGAAAAACACGATGCGCAAACTTGTACTCATTTGTGCTCTCCACTGTATATCGCAAAAACAAAGCAAATTTGCAGACATAATTTTTTTACTTTTCATACAAATTTTCTTGCTTACAACTATAAATAGAGCGGGTATACAATTCAGAATCTCTGAATGCACCAGTTACATTCTTCTATCTAGTTCGTGAACTTTTCATGGCTAATCTTATTTAGAAACATGGCGATATTTAAATATGTGCAAAGAGTGAGATAAAATTTTGTTCAAGAGCGATATGTTTTTTGCTTCTAAATGGCAAGTGCCGGTAAGTAGGCATAAGAGAGACGCTTGAACACCTCTTCTACATATATTCGACCTCATCTAAAACTCTACTTAGATATCTAGGAGCTTTGCCGTTCAAGGCACTGGCTGAAGTATCAGTATTAGATATCAAGTCTCTGTTAAACTTCGCAAAAAGCGTGTACGACGTAAACTTCAGCTCGTATTAATAATTAAGCTCCATATGGCATAACAAAGGTCGCTATATTGTAAGGTCAAGGAACATTTTTTGCTTATAAAAATATGTAAGAAATTGTAAAAAAAATAATTTGTATGTGAACACTTACACAAATGTTAACGTTATTAAGATTATAAAAATTGTAGAGGCAAAGATTGGTTAAAGGCTTTCTGGCTTTTGAAAAGTACAAACAATTTTGATAATAATAAGTATGTCTAATTTTGGACTGCTTTTGTTTATTTTGATAAATTTCAAAATGTATTTTTATTGAACATCTTCACAAAATTTTTAAAGTATTGAAAAGAAATATATTTTTTTCAAAATATTTTCATATTTGTGTAAATTTTAACTTTTTATGATTTTTAAGTATCATGATATTAAGATTTTTTTTATGGATTTGTGGATGTTTTTCGCTTATTTCATTCTTTATTTTTCACTTATAGGGCTACAGCTGTTTCACGGCTTCAAAAAATCAGGAACTTCTTTTATTGTCTTATTTAATTCTATAGCATCTCTAGAATAATGTCCTTAATGCTCAAGTCGATGCGACTAATAGTTTTCGAGATACAGCCTTGAAAAGTTGCGCGCTCGAGGTCAGCTATATAATCACTTAAAACGCGTTTTTCTCGAAACTGTGTTTTCAAAATCGGTTGACTAGTTTTCTCGCGATCTACTCAAATTTTACACAGGTCTTCGATTTATAACTTAATATATATATATTTTTTTCAATTACAACTGT